CACAAAGGCTCAGCGGCCGGACGAGGGGAAGCGGCCCCGCCCGACTTCAGCCCGTCTTACCCCGCCGCTCCGCCGTCTGCAGCTCCGGCCGCCGACCGCCGAGCCCCGCCCCGTAGCCGCCACGGCTGCTGCTATTTGCTCCTTCGGGCGCGGCCGCTGCCGTCGCTTCAGCACCCGCCGCCCTCGTCGCCTCGACCCCTCCCGGTACCGCCGCAAAGCCACTCCCGCGGCCGCCAAGCGAGCCCGGCTCTTTTGCGACAGTTGCTGCGCGCGCACGCGCGGTAGTGACGGCGGCTGAGGCGCGCTTTACGGCGCGGACGTGAGTGCGTGACGCCTGTTCGTGCTCTCAGTTCGCACGTGGCGTTTGCTGAGGAAGTTTGGTTTTGCTGTGTCTGTTGTCGTCCGAATCGCCAGTATGAAGCGGCCGAGTGAGTGGAAGCAGACGACGGGGGTGGGCGGGCGCGGGTTAATCCCTGACTGGTGGTTACCGAGTCCCCCAGGGCGCCCTTCTGCTTGCCGGGGTGTGACTAGGCCTTTCTGGTCCTATTTTGAACCGAGAGTTGGAAGGCCTCACGTCGATGTTGCCAATCGGTGGGCTCATTGTGCAGTCCACTATTTAAGGGTGGAGAAGAGCGGAAATCTAGTAAGAAAATAGCACGTGAACTAAATTTTATGCGAGCCACGTGCGGGCCGGCCTGTGGGTGAGCCGAAAGCCGTTTTCCGAGCCCACTGTTAGTCCTACGTTGTGATTGGTGGTGTTTGGCTCAAGATAGCTGTTCTGTCTTCTCCGTATGTCGTGCTTGTCTGATTTGGGCAGGAGGCAGGCAACTGGGAGCCCCAGTCCATGTCTAGTGTCAAATCTGGAATTTGAGAGAATCATGAATGTTTTTATTATGGGGCCCAAATGATTTGTAGCACAAAAATACGTGAGACCATAGTTAAGATTACAAACGAAGCAAACAAGTCCTTGATGGCTAATTCTTTTGTGTTCTTTGTAGAGTTAAAGAAAGCGAGTAAACGCATGACCTGCCATAAGAGGTATAAAATCCAAAAAAAGGTGGGTGTTCTATTTGGGAGAACTAAGTTATGTATTGCTTAACACGTTGCCGCACACTTTTAAATTGACTACCGTGCTTAGAAACACTTTTTTTTTCCCGATATATTACCGTCATTTGTGGCAGCTAAGTAATTTCTGAGGGATCTCTCACTTTACGTGGAAGTCTGCCTGATTATTGAACCTCAGGAGGAGGGAGGACGCTATGAAAAAGTGCAACTAATTTGGTTTTTAACTTTACAGGTTGAATAATCTCTGAAGAGGGGTGGATGAAGCTTGGTGGTTTTTGGGGTGGTGTTTTTTATTTGGGTTTTTTTTTGTTGGTTTGTTTATTTTTTGTCTATACCTTGCAGTAACCCATCCCTTGTGTTCTAAGGATCCTTTTTGGCACAGTGGTTAGATCAAAAAAGTCCACTGTTTGAATCCACCAGCAGTTTTGCAGAAAGATGTAGTTGTCTGCTGTGACAGTCTCAGAAACCCTGTGGGGTAGTTCTACTTTCACAGATAGGTTTACTGTGAGTTGGAATTGACTCCAGGCGGAGGATGTAGTTTTGAACTTGTGTGTAAATTCTGCTAAAGCTCCATTTTTCTAGGCTACCAAACAGGTGACTTTAAGCTGTGGTTAATGTTTGCCCACATAAACTTTTGTTTTAATAAGGAGATCCTACTTTAAAAGGAAGTAATATTTTCATTACAACAGGTGCGAGAGCATCATCGGAAATTGAGGAAGCAAGCAAAAAAACAGGGTCGCAAGAAGCCTAGGAAAGATCCAGGTGTTCCAAACAGCGCTCCCTTTAAAGAAGCACTTCTCCGGGAAGCTGAGCTAAGAAAACAGCGAGTATGTTGTTTGTTGACGTTTTGAATAATTTTTTTTTTTTTAAATAAATCTATTCAATTGTAAGATAAAAACACTAAGTCAATTTGGCTTATTTTATGGATTGGATATAGCTTGAAGAACTAAGACAACAGCAGAAGCTTGACAGACAGAAGGAACTAGACAAGAGAAGAAACCTTGCAAGTGACCTTAGTGTTAAGCCATCTAATGAGGAACTTGTGAAGGAGAAGGTATGTTTGGCTCTCTTTGAGTCAGTCAGAAGTAAAAGCACACAGATTGGGTAGCTTCTGTGTCTTTTAAGGGTAGGGTAGGGAGGGGAGACTTGACTTCAGGTATAAGATAATCAGACGTGGGGCCTGTCGTCAGCCATGGAAAATGTAACAACGTGTTAATAACTTGTACTTACCATTTCTTACTCTTTCTTCTATTATTGAGGAATGTGAACAAAGCAAAACAAAGGATAAAGCCAAGTCGGGTAAACGGAATCCGAAGACCATATATTGTCAAGAGCTGAAAAAGGTATTTTGGTCTAGCTTAGTGCTTAAGCATGAGGTTTTGGGAGCTCTGGTGGCCTAATGGCAAGAAGATGCACTGTAATCCCAGAGGTACGCAGTTCTAATCCACCAGATGATCTGTTGGAGACGGAGGGGCAATCTCTTGTCAGATCCGATTTGACGGTACACACACAAAAATAGTAATATTTTAAGAAAATAATAGGCTTTTAAATTTCTTATGTGCATGTTGGGTAGTAACCAAGTGGATAAAATAAAGGTGGTGAGTCATGCAGGCAGAGATTGCTAAACTTCCTATGGATCAGCTGGCGGATTTGAACTGCCTGCAGTTGCTTACCAATAGGCCAAAAGATTGGCACGAGCCTTGTAAAGGTGGAAGTGGAATCAGTGGAACTATTAGAATTCCTCAGCTTGACCTGTTTCATATACAGCCTTTTTGTTAGGATTAAGGAAATGAAATAGGTTTATTTACTTTTTAAATATTTCCATCGGTTTATGGGGAGCAGTTGTTCCTCATAAGCATTGCCTTTGAAACTGATGTGTGGATAGAATGCCTTTAAGTTTGAATGAGGTACTTAATAGTAAGTAGTATGAAACTAAGCGACTGTACAGTGGCTCATTGAAGCCTCAGTCAAGGAAGTCAGTTAAGTCACAAGTGCTCTCCATGGAGTTGTTCCCTTGTACTCCCCTTCTACACTCTTAAATATCCGGACCCTGGTTATTTTTCTTAACATCTCTGGGACCTTTCAAATTATGTAATATACTATGGGAAGAGGGTAGATTCAGATTGTATTATTGAAATCTACATTGAGGAAAGGCTGAGAGTTTCTTGTGTGAGAAGTGATTACATAAAAATATTTTTCATACCATAGTGAACACATGAGGTCCAGCTTGGAGGTATCGTGTTGTAAAGTAGATTCTGCTAAAACCTTATCAAGCAGCTCCTGGAGCCAGGGGTGTGATATTGTTTTGATTGTTTCTCCCCTGACAGGTGATTGAAGCCTCAGATGTTATACTAGAAGTGTTAGATGCCAGAGATCCTCTTGGTAGCAGATGTCCACAGGTAGAAGAGGTTGTTGTCAACAGTGGACAGAAAAGGCTGGTACTCGTGTTAAATAAGTCAGGTGAGCAGAAGAGATGCCCTTTGTCGTGTAGGTGCCTTGGTGAATGAGGTATGAGGAAAACATCTGAACAGTCTGACTGTCACTGAAGACTGATAAGATCCAACTCTGACCTCAAAGCCAGTGCTGGGCAGTGGGTGTTGGAATTGTCTGCTTCTCTGCATAGGTCATTGGTTTTATACATTTCACAGAGAAGGTGATGACAGATGCTCCTCATAACATACTATGTTTTGGGAGTGTAATGAATCAAAACCTGTGGTCAAAATATTCTTGTGAAAACTTCTAATTGTGTATCTGGGATTATAGCAAAAATGGGAAAGCCCAGAATGCATTTGTTTTGCATACAATAGAAATGGAATTTTAAGAAGAATTTGCCATAAGGATAATAGGGCTGGAATCCAGAAGTTGATTCTTACCTGAAAGGCTTAGCAGTACAGAGGGTGATGGAGGAATTACCAACTCATACCAAACACACTTCCTTCAAGTTGATGTCAACTCATAGCAGTTCTATAGGATGGAGCCCCCCATGGTTTCTAAGGCTCTTAATAAATAAAGCAGCAGACTGCCTTATCTTTGTTCATAGGGGCAGCTAGTGGGTTCAAAGTGCCAGAACACAAAAATACTGATGTTTGTCTCTGTTAAGACAAAGTCAGCATGGCAGCATACCCCTCCCCCTTTTTCTGTTAAATCTTCTCGGGGGGAAAAGTGGGATGATTAACAGGTTTTGTAAGTACCTTTTTTTATAAAGACCAGATATGAGAATGTCATTTTCCTAATTCCTAGCAGATCTGGTACCAAAAGAGAATTTGGAGAGCTGGCTAAATTATTTGGAGAAAGAATTGCCAACAGTGGTGTTCAGATCCTCAACGAAGTTGAAGGACAAAGGAAAGCTAATCCAGGTACATTAACTTGGGTTGTGGCAGGTGTGGTTCTTTCAGGCTTTTACTGGTTGAAATATGATGAGTGAGCACATTTTGATCCTTTTTTTTTTTTTGGAAAAAAATGAGAAAATATAAGATCCAACTCTGATTTCATCCAGAAATAGTTGAAAACCAGTAGTACCATTCAGTGGTTAAGGGCCAAATTGTTAGAAGTATTAATTTGAAATTTGGACATTGAAGGTAAAGAAGAAAGCTGCCCCCTACAGAAGTGAAGTCTGCTTTGGTAAAGACGGCCTTATGAAGCTGCTTCGAGGATTTCAGGAGACATGTGGCAAAGCTATTTGCGTTGGTGTGATTGGTGAGTTTATTTTGCTTCACATTTTACCTCAGTGGCAATATTTTTAAAGTCTACCTTAACTCTGCCTCAGTTGCCAGATAGAAGGCTCAAATATGAACTACTTTATATCTTCATCAAGAACACAAGGATGCCATTGCTACCTGATAATCTTTTTCATTCTGACTGGTCATTGTACTATGTTCCTGAGACTTTGGATGCAGTCTAGTTCTGCCCTTAATTGCAAAAGCAAGAAATGAAGAATTTAATATTGAGCTTAATGTTGACGTGAAGACGCTCAGTCCAACTCTGATTTTGATCTAAACACCAACCATAAAATAAGATGGTAGAAATTGTATAGTTATTATTAACCTTTGTTTCATTTTCTCATTTAGGTTTCCCAAATGTGGGTAAAAGCAGCATCATTAATAGTTTAAAACAAGAACGGGCATGCAATGTTGGTATAGCCATGGGTCTTACAAGGTAAGGCAGGTTCCTTTTTATTGAATTTCTTACAAAGTATAAATCCCCTTTAAAACTGTTTGTGAAAGGAAGGTGTTTAGATCTGAGCTAGTCTTGGAACATTGAACTCAGCAGCTGGATATGAGAGATTTTGTGTGTGTGTGTGTGTGAGAGAGAGAGACAGTGAAATTCAGAGTCAGAAACACTTTGGCTCTGTTCTACTCAGCAAGATGGATTGACCCTTGACTTATAACAGTGAACTCAAGTGTATCATGTTGAGGATGGGACAGAGCAGGTACGGGGTCACTAAGGGTTGTAGTTGACAGTGATTCCTCACAACAGAAGTTTTTGAAGAGCTGGTTAAAGTATAAAAAAATAACAGTAGAGTATGTGAATCTATCTTGAGAAATGACGTTTACTGGGTGAAAGAGCAGTATTTAGGGCAGAGAAAGAAGTATTGATACATAAGCATGGCATCTTGTCCTTTAGAAAGGGGGAGGAAATGTGGGTTTCCAACCAACATGAAGCAAATGATGAGAAAACTGGATCTGACTGACTGTGCTGAGTTTGTTCAATCCAACCCTGAGCTTCATGTTCTCCTTTCTGGCGTATAGATGAACCTGTGCCCCCTTTGAATATTAGCTCTCTCCTAGGAATATGCAGATTGTCCCCTTGGACAAACAGATCACAATCATAGACAGTCCTACTGTTATCGTGTCTCCACTTAACTCTGCTACTGCACTTGCTGTAAGAAGTCCAGCAAGTATTGAAGTAATAAAACCAGTGGAAGCTGCCAGTGCCATCCTGTCTCAGGCTGACAAACGACAGGTAAGGGGACCTTTTTCCTCATGATCCTTGCTGCCATTTTTTTTCATCATAATATTTTCTGGAAAATACTCAGGTTGGGAGGGGAGAACATTTTGATGTTGGCTTTAATTTTTCTGTAGACAGCAAAAATGTAAGGTGGTTACAGTTTGGTTTTGATGGTCCATAGTTTTCTTGTAACCATCACTATGATACTAAATGCAAGAAAGGATTTCTCTACCCGTGGAGACAGTAGGATTTGTTGCTACAGATTTATCTTAGAGTCTGTCATATAGCTTTGTGGTTCTTTGTGACTTGTCTCACTTAGCAAGTAAAATGAGATTCATCCATGTTGTAGCTACATTTTTATTTTCACAGTTCTTTGGAGGGGGGTGCGCATGCACCCGTTTGTGGACATTTGAGTTGTTCTCTACTTTAGTTCTAAAAACCTTGTTGTGAATGCATACATACTTTTTGTATGGACATCTTAATTGCTGGCCCACATTACCAACCCAGAGTCTGTACCATTAATGTATATCACCATCATTGTATCAGTTCCATGTAGATCTTGGCCAGCACTATTTGCTACTAACACTGTCATAGCTGGCTCTGGCTCTCAGCTCTCAGCCATTTTAGTATATTGAGCTCCATAGAGACACCACTGAGTGACTCTGCCTCACAGATGAGAAATAACGATGGGCAAAGGAAATCCTATGAAGCCAAGAGGCAAAATATAAACATTTGTCATACAGATCTGCTTAGAGGAGCCACAAGAACCACCCAGATGTTTCCATCAGTTTCTCAGAATTTTCTAAGTTCTCAGGTGGAACCATGCCTGCAAAAGAGAAAGGTAAATTAAAGACATGGAAAAGGCAGACAAGGCCCATTATGGTAGACATGAAAACTTAAATCCCTTCTAAGGGCAAAAAAAAGTTCAAGGATCCCAGTGCACCCAAGATGCTGCTTTCAGCTTTTTTGTTTTTCTCTGAGTAACACCCCAAAATCAAAGCTGAGCTCTCTGACCTTTCCTTTGGTGCTGTTGCGAAGAAGCTGGGAGAGAGATAGAAGGATATTGATGTGTACAGGGCTACAGGCAAGTCTGATGGCAGCCAAAAAGGGATTTGTCATGACCAAGTAGAGGAGGAATAGTTTGTTGTGCTGTGTTTTTATCCTTGTCTATAAAGCATTTTATCTCACTGTACACAACTTAACTGCTTTTAAAGAAAAGAAAAATTTGACACGTAAGGCTATGTAAGATTTGTTTTTAAACTATACGATCTTTATTTGCATAGTTAACACATTACCAAATTTGTCTTTAGATAACTCTGTCTTGGTGGTATTTTCAGTAACCACTAACCTTGCCTGGTACAGTAAGGGGGCTGAAAATTGGCATGGAAATTTAAAGCAGAAATTTTGAGGTTGATGATGATTATTATTTGGAAGATTTCATTGAGGTTTGGGTGTGAGTTTTCAGAGCACATTAGTTTTCTCCTTCAATAATTTGTACACGTTTTCTTTGACTTTAGTTGAAACTTCTCAATGTATAGTACAAATTAGTTATACCTGGGATGGTAGTTGTTTTTTCATCTTTAGTTGTATTTTTCTTTTTTTTTTATCTGATCAAGTCTCGTTTATTCAGGCTTTTTCACAGGGCTTTCAGATTGGTATTTTTCTAATGGCCCACAATATTTAACTTTTTATGCTTTTACATCTTTGGAGAGAAGTCAAGTACCTTCGCTTATTTTATTTAGTTGTGATAGTGTTCTTATAAATGCCTGTTAGCAGACACAATTTTCAAATATTTTCTCCCAGTTTGGTAGGTGGTTGGTCAATTTGATGGCATCAAATGTCCAAAGGATTTTCAGTTTACCGTTTTCCTTTGGTCTTTGTCAGTATCACTAACCAAAGTGAGCTTTTGTGTTTTCTTTTTTAAAATTTTTTTAATTTTTATTTTATTATTTGTGTGTACCATCAAATCAGATCTGAATGGTGCAGGAGGAGATTGTCCCTCCTTCCCTGGCAGAGCATCTGGTGGATTCGAACCGTGCGCCCTCTGGGATTGTAGTGCAGCTTCTTGCCACTAGGCCACCAGAACTCCCCTTGTGCTTGTTTTCTTAAGAGTTTAGGGAGCTCTGGTGGCCTAGTCTAGTGGTGAGAAGCTGCACTGCAGTCCCAGAGGTACATGGTTTGAATGCACCAGATGCTCTGCTGGAGGAGGGGCAATCTCCTGTACCAGTCAGATCCAATTTGATGGTACACACAAAAAATAATAAAACGTAAAAAAAAAAGTATTGTTTTAGTTCCTAATATTTAGGTTTAGGATTCATACTGCTTTTTTGTGGTAAAGATAGAAAAAAATTATTCCAACTTCATTCTTTTGTGGAGATACAGGTATCACAGAACCTTTTGTTAGAAAGTGTACTTACGTATCTTTGCACCCCTGACAAAAACCAGTTGACTCAAAGTGTAAAGATATGCTTGTTAGATTGATTCCATTGCTCTGTTTCTTTGGAACTTAACTATGTCTAGGAGGAGATAAAACCTTTTTGTCTTTAAAAGTCTGTTTCACAGTCCAGTCTGCACTATAGCAGGTGAATGAGAGTTCATGGTCTTTCTCTCCCCCTCTTTAAAGGTAGTATTGAAATTTACTGTCCCAGACTATAAGAATCCTCTGGACTTTTTTACCTCACTTGCTCGGAGAAGAGGACTACACCAAAAAGGTGGAAGCCCAAATGTAGAAGGTGCTGCCAAGTTGCTGTGGTCTCAGTGGACAGGGTGAGGCCTCTTTCTACTTGACTTTTTGATCTTCACACAGGAAGAAAACTTGCCTTTTGACAGGTTCTGTTTTTTTTCAATACTAGTGCTACCTTAGGCTACTATTGCCAGCCTCCAACATCCTGGACTTGTTCTTCTCATTTTAATGAATGTACAGTAGCAAATATGAAGTTGGGCTTGAATATGGAAGAACTGGGAAAGAACAATGCACATAGCATACAAGGTAAGATGGACTCCACTGCCTCTTGCCAGCTGCCAGGGCAGGAAAAGTTCATCTCTTACTTGGTTGTTTCTTTCCTAGCCATTAAGGGGCCTCGCTTAGCCAATAGCATCCTTTTTCAATCTTCGGGTTTCACAAATGGAATCATAGAAGAAAAAGATTTACCTCAGGACTTGCCAAAACCAAGAGAGGGGAAGCAGGAGGAAGAGGAGGGCATGGACAGTGATCCAGAGAGTCTTGATGGCGAAGACACTGATGTAAGTGTATTCCATAAAGTATTTAAGAGACACAACAAATGGAAAGGGGCTCTAAGTGGAGATCCGTATTTTGTAATAGACTAGAAGCCCTCCTTTAAAATGCAAGACTACGATCTTTCATTTTATGAAGATCATCATATGTGTCATCAAAGACTGAACTTTTTCCAGATAAATAAATAACTTAATTGATGTTCCTCTGTGCTTTACAGGAAGAGAGCTCAGATAGAGCTCCTGTAGAGGAGACATGGGAAGCCATGCCTGAGGAGTGTCGAGCTGGTGAGTCTGGGTTAGGTGGGGTTTTCTAAGCAGCATTGCACAGAATGGCTTACATTCAAAACAAACCCTTTCATCCAATCCAGGTGAACAACAGCCAGTCAGTCAAGTAGCAGGATCTTTTGCACTGGATAAAATGACTGAAGAGGATGATGCTTATGACTTCAGTACAGACTATGTATGATAAAACCTTGTTTTCTGTGAGGTCTTTTGAGCATTCTGCTAACCTGTTACATAACATGTTTGTTAAAGTAAGTCATAATTCTGTAAATATGTATTATAATTCATTAAAGAGTCAGTTTGGAGATACCAGTTGTTTAATACAATGACTCATGTAATATGTCAAATGGATGGAAGGAAGCAGAAGCATCTTGGGGAAAAATACTCAGTTTTACTTTATTTAGAAATAGATTCAGAAGTTAACAGTGTAAACCAAAGAACTGTTTTTAACTATCTGTACTAGATGTACAGTCCATTCATCTTGTTTCTATAACATCGTAGTAAGAAAACACTTAGTAGTAAGGCAGATGGAGACAAGACCATAAATACATGCAGCCTGGCTTGCATGGGGCAGTTCGTCATCTTGGTCAGCTGCAACATTTCCTTCCTTCTCCAGATTTAGAAGAAGTGAATACTTCTCAAACATATTACCTTCTCCCAGGATATCCTCAGAAGTGTTTCAGTTTTAAAATGTTTTAATTTGTATTTGTGATCTCCACGTGTCTTCGTATTAGGCTGAATTTGCCTGTTGGATCTGGAATATACCATTTTTCCCAGACATCAATATATGAGGCAGTTCTCCCCCATGGTTTAAAGTGCCCATTCCAGTGGAGTAACTTAGCAGCCTTTATAAACTGAGGTGAATATCGTTTTCCAGCACTGGACCCTAACATGGAGAGAAGACTGCAGTCATTCTATATAAGGCAGTGGTGAAAGAGTGCAGAAATAATGGTTTGATCCCATCCCCAGAATTAGGTGTTTTATTAGGTAGTTACAAAACCTCTGCTTCTACTTACCAAGGTGGCGAACATTCCACATAGGGTCAATCGTAGAGTGCTGCTGATAAAACACTATCAACAGTGGAGGGGTTGTGATGCTGCCAGCCAGGGTTCTGCTATAGAGTCCCTCCCTTGGTGGTAGGATAGACAAGATGCTGTTAGAAAGCTCTGAGAATGGAAAGCTTTCACACAAGCCATTTAGTACTTACTCTACATTGAGTTTCATCCATTTCTCCAGCTGGTTGGTTATATTTTGTCGCTTCCATTCTGTCAGGTTTGCAACAAAAACTCCAGGATTAAATGAGCAGGTACTGGCTTTCATAGAAAGTTTGCGTATCCTTTCCTTTTTATAGTCCAGGTATCCAATGTAATTGTACTAAAAGAATAAATGAGCTACACTGTATTTACAGTTCCACACTGAATTGATAGCTAGTGAAGGGAAAAGTTGTTAATGCTGCCTGTGACATCTCATTAACAGGCTTCTAAAAGCTTTTCTGGCAGTTAAACACATCAGCAGCTCTGCAGAAGATGGGCAACCTTCTCGAGTACAATTTAAAGCCTTGGAAGCCTGTTAGGAGTTGGTTCTGACTTAATGAATCTAAAGCAAACCAGGATTTCAAATTTGACAGAAAAGAAACCTAGATTTCATCATCCTGAGGCAAATGTTCAAGGAATGTTGCATTAAGCCATAAACAGATTGGGACTTCGAGATGAAATTGAAGAACATAAAAGAAGAATGCTCAATTTCTTGAAGTTTCTCACCTCTTCTGCCTCAACTGTACTGTACTGTGGAGTGTCTGTGTAAGGAATCTAATAGTAAATTACCTGGTTTCCTGCTCCACGGATGATGACTTTGGTAGAGGTTGAGTCACAGTCTTCTGAGAATGCAGCTGCATGTCCTGGCTTCAGTAGTGTATTGTAAAGGGCAAGGATATCACCTGAAATAGACAGGGCACGGCTCCAGTTGCCTAGGCATTCATTACCTGTTCTTCCCACTTGTGACCTTACACAGGATACCATGATGGTGGCATACTTTGGTACCTTGAACAATTACATCATCATCCATATATATGGCCTTCTTCACATTGGGGACCAGAATTGGCAAGTAGAACCTTGCAAAAATTAACTGTAAACAAGGGGGGAAAGTCATAGATCAGGCTAGGATCGATCAGTGGCTGTGCTTTACAGATATTTCCACAGTGTTCTCAGAACTCATGCAGGAGAAGGTGTCCAGGGGTCTCCTAAACCAAATCCCTTCCAGCTTGGTACTATGGAAACTACTGACATTGTCCACAGTTTCTCAGATCTTCTGTTCCTTTACTAGTAAATTACCCCACATATAAATAAGAATGCATAGAACTCACTGGTTTTATAGAATCGCCCTGGTCAGGATCTTCCTTTACTTTCCCTTCCAAAAGTTTAGTATCAAAATTCACAATTTTATACCTGATATTTTTGAGTGAACCACTTTTGAGCCAAGACCTAATGAAGAAAAACAAAAGTGCACTTTTAAATAACCATACCTCCAAATCAGAGCTTTGTGCCTTCAATGATGGCACCTGTATTTAAGAGGCCCTAGGGTCCAAAGAATCTAGCCCTGTGCACACAAATAAGGTTTCCTCATTTGAAATGACTGTTTTCACTAAAGTCCTTCTTGAAATCAGATTCTCCAGTATTCCTTTGTGCTCACATCAACCTTAAAGCACTTTACAACATTTAACAGTGCTATTAAAAAATCCACTATGAGTCATTCTTGTCCTGAGAATACTTGGGTAAACAATGAGCCTTGATTATGAACAAAGCTGGAAACTAAAAATTCATTTTATAATGATAACCACCAATTATTACTCTATGTAAATCTAAGGGATTGCCCATAGGCAAGCCAATGTTCCCTAAAGAATTACTGCACCCTTTTCCTAGGTCCACTTTAAATCAGCAGTTTGCAGGACATAATTATTTATGTATTAGATTGGTCTTTGAGGTTTTTAGACTAAAGGAAAAAATTTATAATACCATTCATAAACTAAAAATACTATCCTCCCTAAACAAGAACCAACCATAGAGAAAAGCACAAGAGAAACAGAAATTTTTGAGTCTTTCAAGCTATGTCTTTGAATAGTTAAACCTTACTCCAAAGCATTTGCAAAATACCGATAAAAATGTTGATCATTTTTATTTATTCTTTTACTGAGTACTTATCTGCTAGTACCTCACTTGGATCTCTTGTGGCAGGGTGTATGACTAGGTTTTGAACCAGTATCTCATTTACTTCACAAGAAAATGCTCCAAATTGAGCATCTTCACTCTGTATTTTTAAATCAATAAATGGGCTCCAAGAGGCTAAGTTACTTTGCCATAAATCACTTGGTCCATGGACCAGGATTTACTTCAGGATCTGTAATTACAACTTACCCACATGACCTTCCTACTCCTAAGTCCATTCTAGACCATATACCTTGAATGAAAAGCACTCAAAAAGCATATCCTATGAAACAGGAACATGCACCAAGATGTACATCAACACACTACTTCATAGCGTCTTTAGTACCAAAAAAAAAGACTGGAGTTAAAAGTCCATGTCCAAAGTGACAGCTGCTTTTCTGAACTAAGCTCCTCTTGTTTCTACTGTCCTCTCTAGGGGCATGCTTATGGTACAATCACATGGAAGAGATCTCATGTACAGTTAATCTCAACTATAAAAAACCCAATTCCCAGATAGCCACATGGAAGAGATCTCATGTACAGTTAATCTCAACTATAAAAAACCCAATTCCCAGATAGCCACCTGAACTGCTCTAAAGTGTCTTCTAGAAGCAGAATCATCAGGCAAACCAAGCTCACCGGAGATGGTCCACGGTGTCATTGAGTGTAACAATGTAAAAGATCACATTGGAGCGAGTGTTTTGCTGAACACTGTTCATGGCTGCGATGGCTCCCCCAAGCCTGTCTTCAGTTGCAGCGATGACCACAGGAATCTCCTCAGGTCTCCCATCTCCTGCATGTCGGGGAGCATTTGGGATAAAGTCTATGGGTTGAAGCCCCAAAATTCCTGAATCTGAAAACACAAAAAGGAAGGCAAAGAAACAACAGATAAGCTTTATCTACAGAACCGAAGGCCCAAAAAATATTTAAAATACGATGCCAAAAAAACCTCACAGCACCCCAAAACAAACCACCACACACCAAAAAGCAAAACACAATATGGTGATGGCAATCTGATCTATGACCAGTGGGAGTGTAACAGAGAACCTTTCTGGAATGTGCTCTGGTCACACAACAGTCACTACTAAAAAGACTTTTCCTGTGGAAACCACTAAAACTGTTATCAAAATGATAATGAAGAATTTCTATAATTGTGACATGCTTAAGGCATAATTTGTAGGAAAATGGCATTTTTGCAGTGGATATGGAGCCGAGCAAACTAAAGCTGTGAACAATCTCAATCTCTTTGCCATCCATCCTGATGCTACCACTTGGTCCAGTGGTGAGAATCTTTGTCTTCTTGACATTGAGCCTTAGTCCACACTGAAGGCTGCAGTCCTTGAACCTCTGCAGCAAGTGCATGAGGTCCTCCTCAGTTTCAGCAAGCAGGGTTGTGTCATCTGCATAACACAAGATTGTTAATAGATCTTCCACCAATCCTGATGCCACAATTCTCCTTGTAGAGCCCAGTCTCCCAGATAATCTGCTCTGCATACAGGTTGAAAAGGTATGGAGACAGGACACATCCCTGGCATACACCCTTCCCAATTTTGCACCATGCAGTGTTACCCTGCTCTGTTCTGACAACTGCCTCTTGGTCCAAGTATAGGTTTCACATTAGCACGATTAAATGTTCTGGGATTCCCATTCTTCTCAAAGTCAGCCACAGTTTGTTATGATCCACAGTCAAATGCCCTTGCATAATCAATGAAACACAGATAGACATTCTTTTGGTATTCCCTGCTTTCAGGTAAGATCCATCTAACATCAGTTACAATATCCATAGTACCACGACCCCTTCTAAACCCAGCCTGGACTCTGGCAATTCTCTGCTAATGTGCTGTTCCAGTTGTTTTTGGATAATCTTCAGTAGAATCTTGCTCTTGGCACCAGCAATAAGGAAATAAACTTATTACGATGAGAAAGTCTGCTGCTAGGGACCTCTCTAAAGTACTCAAGAGCAACGGTGTCTCTCTGGAGACTACGGTGCGCCTGATACAGGCCATGGTCTTTGTAATCACTTGTTATGCATCAGAGAGTTGGACAATGACTAGGGAGGACAGAGGAGAATTGATGCCTTTGAGCTGTGGTGCTGAAGGAGAGTATTGAATGTACCATGGACTGCCAAGCAAACAAACAGATTCATCCTGGAGAGGATTAAACCAAGCAACTCCTTGGAGGCAAGGATTCTGGGGCTTCGTCTGACATACTTTAGGCATGTTGCAAGGAGGGACAGGTCCTTGGAGAGGGACGGTGCAAAAGGGGAAGACCCTCTATGAGATGGACTGATTCAGTGACTGGGGTAATCGGGATGGGTGTGTAAGAGGCAGTGCAATTGGCACAGGACAGAGCAGGGTTTAGGGCCGTTGTATACAGGGTCGCTATGAGTTACAAACGACTCGACGGCACATAACAACAAACAACATAGGTAGCATAATCTCCATTTTAGAGAAAGGACTACTAGAAAGTACTGAAAATAGTAATAATTGTTTCCTGGTGATGAAATCATTCAGAGAAACTCTGTCTCACATACTTTGGGCATGTGGCCAGGAAGGATCCAATCCTTGAAAATGGCGTCATGCTTAGAAGGGTAGAGGAACAGCACAGTAGAGGAAGACCTCAGATGAGATGAACTGATAAAAGTCACTGGGGAAAGGGAGTAGGTATGTCAGAGTAAAACTGGCTCAGGATAGGGCAGGCTTCAGAGCTGTTGAACATCACAGGTGACTCGAGGGCACCTAACAGTATTTTACTGAATACATTGTAGGTACCAACTGTGAGAAAAAGCAGAACTGGGGAGAATTTCCTCAAGGAACTTAAAGGCTATTTTTACAAATTTCCCACCAGGAACATGTATGACTTTATAGACAAATGTACATAAGGGAGCTCTGGTGGCCTAATGGTAAGGAGCTAAGCTGCCAGTCACATTGACCAGCTGCTCTGTGGGAGAAAGATGGACAATCTCCCAGCAATTTACTGTCTGATAAACTGCTGGAGGGTCAGCTATGGGTCAGTTTTTGATGGTACATAACTAAGTAAGCAATGGACATAGATTATTAATAAAACATGCTGTCAGAGTATGCAAACAAGTGATCCATGGTCTTTCCAATCACTTGTTATGCATCAGAGAGTTGGACAATGACCAAAGAGGACAGAAGGAGAATTGATGCCTTTGAGCTGTGGTGCTGGAGAAGAGTATTGAGAGTATCATGGACTGCTAGGAAAACAAACGGATTCATCCTAGAAAGAGTTAAACCGGGTGGGTCTTTGGAAGTAAGGATTCTGAGGCTCCCTCTAACATACTTTGGACATGTTGTAAGAAGAGACTGGTCCTTGGAAAAGGACATCATGCTGGGGAGGGTGGGGGGACAGCGCGGGAGGGGAAGACCCTCTATGAGGTGGATCGATTCGGTGACTGGGGTTATCGGGATGGGAGTGTCAAGAGACAGTGCGATTGGCACAAGACAGAGCAGAGTTTAGGGCTGTGGTACATAGGGTCGCTAAGAGTCACAAGCAACTTGACTGCACATAACAACAAAACAACATCAGAGTATCAGTCTCCTCCAGTGTGATTTACTGCCTCTGGAAAGCTGGAGCGTCAGCTCCACTGCAATAGAACACAACATCAGAGTACTTGGTGAAAACCAGAGGAAAAATAATACGAGGTGTTTCTTGCTCTGCCTAACTATGGTAGGTGGTAATCCAGAAATTATTTTTACAAACTCCCTGCATCCTCAGACATTCCAATACCAAGGCAAAACAGAATGAATAAATTTTTTTTAAAAACCCAGTGATTATTAAACAAGTTCTTTGATGAGTTGACACATTTATAGTTTTATTAGAGTCCTGCTGATGTGGGTCAAGAGATGAAAGGGACTAACATGCAAAAGCTAACAGTCTAGTGAGTAAATAAGTATCAAACATGGTTGGCCCTATAAAAACCCAGTGAGGCGGGCAGCTTGTGAGGAGCCAGTAGCCCAGATGGGGTCTCAGCAGATTCTGAGTTAGGAAGGATTCTCTAGTCAACTACACAACAGGGAAAAGGAAAGTCGGGGTGCTTTGAGAGGACAGAGTCCTCTTCATGTCTCTCAAAGTCGTTTAACAGCTTCTGGAAGGTTGAGAAAATTTCCTTTTCCATTCAGAGACTTAATTTACATGTTAGACATGGAGAGCTCTTGGCCCCTAACAGATGCCAAGACATTAATAAGAGTTCCCATACCTGAAACCTCATTCCTTAGCAAACTGCTCAGTCCAAGGAAGTTATGATGCAAAACCAGTAAGAAGAGAGCAATGGCCAGGACCAGGATGATGATGTTCACTGAAACAAGAAAAGCGTGGATACATCTCTGCAGCTTGTGATGCAGTACAAAACAACATAACTTGTAAAAAGAGGGTACCTTTACGAAATGACATCTTTCTTTTCTGTCTGGCATAAACATTAGTTACCAACTCTGCAAAACAAAATCAAACCCCTAAGGTTAGAATACATGAGAATGGTTATTAGAATTCATACTCCTTTTTATTCAGGTAGAAAACAAAGATCCTGATTTATTTTCTGCCAGAAATGCACCTTGAATTATGTTTCTAAGAAGTGAATAATGTTCTTGCTTTCGAATCAAGCACAACTCAGCAACCCTATGAACAAAAGGTCTGAAGCCTTTCTATAACCATCATCATTTATCCAAGTTCATAAAATTTCCAGAGGCATGTTGTTTAGGTCCAGCATTCAAAAGAACGGAATATGGGATCTGAATTCACAACTTTTCTTTATGATAGCAAAATACTTACAGATAACTTGGGAGATTCTATACAGCCTTGATCCTTGGCACAGCCTTGGTTCTTGGTGGCCTAGAGGCAAGGATTTGCACTGCAAACCCGAAAGCACATGGTTCAAATCCACCAACTGCTCAGCAAGAGGAAGATGGGAGATCTCCCGTCATTTACTGCTTCCGAAAATCTGCTGCATGGTCAGCTATGGGTTGGTTCTAACTCGACAGCATATTAACTATAGATAGCTTTAAGCCTGTATAAGAATCAGCATATCATTCATTACATGCCACTAAGGAAATTCTTAACAACTGGAAAAGCTTTCCAGGTGTATAAGCACTTCAGAAGTCCCTAGATGATGCAGTATGCATCTAGATGACATTAGACTACTAACTGAAAGGTTAACAGTTCAAAGCCACCAGTGGGTACCATGGAAGAAAGCTGGAACAATTTACTTCTGTAAGATGACTTTTATGTCATACAGTTCTATCCTGAGACGTGTGCTCATCAGTTGGAATCAACAGCAACAGATTGTTTTCTGGTTTAGGAGTTTGTGGTAGTAATCACTACAGTTTCCACCCATAGTCAGTTTGTCATACCATAGTGGCTTGTATTCTGTTAGGATGCTACAAGCTATACAGCCAGTATTTCAAATACCCGCAGGGTCCTCCAAATGGTTTGGTTTGTTGTTTATTGTCCAGATTGAAGTTTTCAGAGGCAGAAAATCACATGGGAGGGGGCTGCCCATCCTCCCTCAGGGCAGCTGGTGGATTAGAACAGCATGCCTTTGCATTGCAGAGCAGTTCCTCACCACTGAGCCAGCAGAGCAGCTCAGGGTCACCCACAGAGGACAGATATCTGCAGACAAAAGGCCTGACACTCTATTCCCCAAAATTAAAGAACCTTTTGAAAAGCAGAACACTGTAGATTCAGTGCTGGAAGAAGAGTCCATTCAGCTGGAAGACCTTATCAAAGCAGCATCAACCTTAATGATGGAAGGATCTTTATTTGTTAATGGGGCACACCCAAAATGAGAAGGCTATTCATTAGTAACCAAAACATAGAATGCACAAAGGATGAATCAAAGAAAACTGAATGTCATTAAAAATGAAGACTGATACTCTCATCACTAATAGACTCACTGCAGTCAAGTTGATTCTATTCAATGTAAACGTATGGACAGAGTAAACTTCCATGGCTGTGGCCTGTGGCTTCCAAGGCTGTACTCTTTACAGAAGTAAATCGCCCCAGCTTTCTTGCATGGAACAGGCAGTGAGATGGAACTACCAATCTTTGAGTTAGCAGCTGAGTGTCACTAGAAAGAACACTTAGTGAATTGAATTGAAATGCTATTGGCATCCACTATACTAGGAACAACAAACTGAAGACCAGTGTTGCATTCATTACTATGAAAAACAGTTCCAAGACCAATTCTGAAGCACAATGCTGTCAATGATACCCATTTACCAACAAAAATCCACCAAACTCCCTGTCATTGAATGGATTCTGACTCCTGGCAACACTCCATTCGATGTTAGAAGCTATAAATCGGGTGTGTGCGCATGTGTGATTTAAGTTTACAAAGCAATGTGATTTTCCATTCAACTATTTATATATTTTGTTTTATGATATTAATTACAATTTCCATATTGTAATTACTCTTCCCACTTCCTCCTTGTGATTGTTTCCTTTAATCCTATCTTATCCTTTCCTGCATTCTGAGTTTAAACATGAGCAAAAGCTGCCATTTGGATCTTGTATGGTCGATTGTTCTAAAGGTACCTCTCCACTGTTACTGTTCACCTTATAGGCCTGTCTGGCTGACAAGTAGAAGTACAAGAGTGAGTTTCTTTCTAGGCTCAAAGGGTGATTAGGGGTCATACTATCAAGGGTTCTATCAGTTACTATCAGGCCAAGCCACCTGGTCATTTTTATGATTCTGAGTTTTGTTCCATTTATTTGTCCCAATCTAAGACCCTCCTACTACAGTAACCTTCTTCTTTAGTGTGATCAGGAGTGGTGGCTGGACATCACCTATTTACCCTGGTCTTAAGAGTCTTAGAAGTTGGAGCAGTCCATCAGTCCTTTAGACTGTTTATATACATTTTGCTCTCTTCCTCTTTGTTCTGAACAGGGGAAAGAAAGCCAGTAGTTGCATCTTAGATGGCTCAGCAAAAGCTTTTAAATCCCTACTCACTACTCAGTAACAGAGTAAGATGTAGAACACTGATTTTATGAACTGTGTTACCACATTACCTTGATGTGTCCAGGGACTATGGCCCCAAGACCCTAAGCTCAGTACCCTGAGGATGCCTGGTTATGATTAGAAATGTACGTACCATTGGTACCATTGCCCCATCATCCGTGTAAATACATGGTGCTGTTGTTATGTGCCATTATCAGAACCTGACCCTCAATGGGTTTTCAGAGGCTGTAAATTGCATGGGAGGCGATCCCACTGAGCAGTTTCCGTGGGCTCAAACCACCTGCCTTTGAGTTGGCTGTACAACTTCTTACCACAAATTCCAGTGTAAGAAAAAACACAATACAATGATGACAACACAGTTCAGAAGACTAAACAGTGGTGAACATTATCAACGTCTTTCTCTCCTATATGATGTAAACAAAACATGGAAGCCAGTAGAACTGTCTCTAATAGAACGTGATAGGCTACTCACTTTTCTATCTTGATAGTTCAAGTATCATCAAGTTTCCATAGCATTTATACTCTATGAAATGCACTTGAAAGTAAACAACATAGAGGGACATGTCTACTACATGATGGTTAGAATGTTAAATACACTTAGCTATAGAAACATGATGGCACTATTATAGAAATATAGATTTCTATTTATAGATATAGAACCAGAAAAATGTGTATGAAGATCCAAGTGGGGAATGGGGTAGCAGAAAGGATGGGCAGGGGGGAAATCACTGGGTCGCACAATTAGATGGGTGGAAGGGGGGTGGATAACAGAAATGGGAAAGATCCGGTGGCGATCTGGAAGACAGAGCAATGGTGGGCATAATTAAATGACGATTCAGTTTATAAAATATAATGAAAAGGAATGATTATATGAAACTGTGAATGAAGAATAGTGTGAAACGATGTATACAAACTTTGTAAGCAAACCAATATAAAGTAAACTTTTTTTTTCATTTTTAAAAAAATTTTATTATTTTTGTGTGTGTACCGTCAAATCAGATCTGACTGGTCCAGGAGGAGATTGTCCCTCCTTCTCCAGCAGAGCATCTGGTGGATTCCAATCATGTGCCTCTGGGATTGCAGTGCAGCTTCTTGCTACTAGGCCACCAGAGCTCCCGAAAAATTTCTTTTTTAAGAAGAAAATACAATGTGATGTATTCACTGCTATGTTAAATAATAATAACAATAATTTGTATATTAAAAAAACCCAACCCATGATGGCAGCCAGCAACAGGAGGCCAGTATAAACTCTTGTAGCAGTTTCCTGTCCTACCCTCAGATTGGCTCCCCCCGAGTTTAGAGAAAGAATAAGCATCTTAGCATGCATCTCCCTTACTGAAAGGTTGAAATGCAATGAACATAATCCATTTACCTCTTCATCTGGCTAGTCCTATGTAGCGTTCAGCAATTGAGCAAGCATCCAGGTGCTTCCACATTGGGCTGTACGTCCTCTAAGCTCCCCCATCTCCCGGGCATCCTTGTGAGCTGCCATGGAATCAATTCTGACCAGCGCAGAGCAGAATGTTCCATGGGGTTTTCAAGACTGTATAGCCTTCTCAGCCTGTCCTCTTAAGAGCCAACACCTCTCTGCTAGTGGCCACTCCCTTCCTGGGGTCAATGAAACCTGCACTGTTGTGTATTTCTGGGGTGATGATGCTTCTCTCTTGAAACATTTTGGGATCTGGGAAGGCAAAGACCTGGTCTTAGTCTCCTGATCCACTCACTACCTGGTACAGAGAGGATGACCTGAATGTTTTTGCAGGAGTGTTTTTCCTAAATGTTTCTGCACGAATATTAATGACTGCAATTAGAGAAAAGTGGGAGCCGCCGCCACCACCACCACCTAGCCCTGGGTGTGCCTAGCCCTGGCAGGCAACACAGGAGAAACCAGAAAATCTGCAGGGACCCACAGGTCTGTTTCCCTGCAGTAAATTCATTCTCCCCAAAACGCTGAACTGCACCTCACATACAGTAATCTAAGCTTTTGAGATGCACAGCAGTTTCCAAAGAGAGGCAGAGCAAACTCTTTGCTGGTCTCTAAAAATCTTGTTTGGTCTGTGAAGGGCAAATAGAGGCTAGGAAGGAGTTCGAGGCATCCCCGCTCTCAAGCGGGAATTCTTCGGTCAGGTGTGAGAGGCGGCCAAGCGAGGGGATCCCCCTCTGCAGGATGTGGCCTGCGGTGATAACCACTAAATGCTAAGGATACATGCTCAGGATTGATCGCGAGGTTTGAAAACCACGCTTCGGGCTCGGGGAGACCCCCAAGTGAGGGCTCCAGCAAGTTGTTCTCCCTACGCGGGCCACCCTTACCTGCCGTCGGAGGAGGCGCCGCCGCCGCCGCTGCTGCTGCCGA